CAGGTGAAGGCTGTGCAGGTGAAGCAGAGTCCTGAGGTTGGAGAGACGGAGCCCAATAACACTCAGGAGAATGGACCCTTGCAGGAGGTGGTCACACAAAAGGCGACACCTTCTCCGAGGAAAGGGTCTGAACCTAAAGAAAACTCCTCCAGAGCACAAGATGAAGATGCGAAGAACCGCCCCGCAGACGGTGAAGAAGCTGAACTTCTGCAATGCACTTTCAACTCCCCGCAGAAAGCCACAGCTGATTGGCAGGCTTTTAAAGCAACAAATGCGGCGCCAAAAGAAGAAAATCCAGCCTCGACGCAGGACAGAATCCCTGATATCGCCTCACCAACGGCCGAGACAGTTTGCCCTGTAAACCATACTGAGATAAACACAACAAGCGAGCACATCACATTGGCCACCGCTCCTGATAATGATGAAGAAGCAGGCTCCGAGGTCACCGTTGACAGCACTGTAGCCGAGCCGTCTGGGGAGTTTCCTCAAAATAATGAAGCGTTATCTGTGCCAGACACTCAGTTTCCTGCAGCAGCTTGTCAGGTGTCGTCCATCTCTGTGGTCGGTCAGGAGATCGACAAAGAGTCTCCGAGCTGGTGAGTCACGAAAGGTTCAGTTTCTGATGTTGGATGGAAGAATACAACAACATATCATTAAGGTTGAATTCGGAATATGTACAATTAGAGCTAAGCAATTGATATGTATTTTTAACATATATCATTCTGTTTACATTTTCATATTATTAAAATGTTTTTAATGAAGAAACTGTAAAGCAAATAATCAAATAAGCAAATAAAATCTGATAACTATAGACCACTGGTTCCAAATATGGAGGTTGGGTAGCAAGTTAAACGTACAGTATGTAAGTTCTGCCACTAGGGGGTCTATCATATCAAATCTGTGACAAAAGACAAGGTTTAGTGACGTTGTGAAGCAGCGTGGGTAGCTTTGTACAGGAACTGAATTATTCGCAGAAAAATTTATTCTTCAGAAAAAACTGATTCAGTGACTAAAACTAATGCTTCACCTTAAATGTCAGGGTTTTTCCGACGCTGTTCGGTGGACAAGTGACACCCCGGGGGGGGGGGGTGCCCCAAGCCGAGCTGCTGGCCTAACGTTCACTCAGCTTGTTTCTCTGATAACTTAAGATTCAGACGTACGATGACTAAAATCCTTCATCCGGTTCAAAACTAGAGTTAAAAAGGACCAAGATCTAAACAGTGGATGGTAAAAATGTTGCTTAAAACTGGATAAAAAGCCAATTTATGACTTCTTCTGACAGACAAACACAAGACTGACGCATGCGCAAAGGGGATATTATGTATGTTGTTATGTGATATCTTTAAAAATGAGGTGTCGCACGGATGATAAAAGGATGGGAAAGCAGAAAAAAAAAAAAATTCTGGTGAATTACTTAATAATTTTACTTTTTTAGTTCACTTAACCATATTCAATTACAACAGAGAAGGAATTATTACTCTTTTGTTGAACTGGCCATAAGCCAAAAAACACCAGGAACCACTGAACCTATAACGTGATTTTTCACCTCAAAAGAAAGAAGATACCATAGAGTATGTTCATACTGGAAGAAGCTATAATTATATAATATATAATATAATATATAATATATAATAATAATATTGTATTCACAGTATTTTTACTGGTTGTACAATAAACTGTACAGGTATACAAACACTGCTGTACCGAGGTCACCATCTCTTAAGTAATCATTGTCCCTTTTATATCTACGGCTGTATCAGGTCATCAAGGGCAGCGTTGCTTTATGGCAGTGTTGTATTTGTTAATCATCAGTGTGATGAGTAGAACTGCACAATCTATTAATATATTATTGAAATTACCATATGGACCAGTGCAATATCCAAATAGCAGAAGCTGCAAAACCACATTATAATGAAGTAATGTAGTGTACTGTAGAGATCCCCTGACAGAAATCTTCAAAACATGTTTGTTTGGTACAGACCTGAACAAATATTACATCATCATTATGATTTTTACAGTGAAAATTAAAATTGTGATGCAAAAATCATCATTCACGAATCACAATAAGTCATAATTACTCCTGTATGATGCTTTACAATATCTTGCAGCCCCAGTGATGAGATGAGGATGATAAACCTGCATTAATACGCTGATATTACAGGAATATACAGAGATGAAAGAATCCATATCACCCAACCAGCCTCTGTACAATCAGTGGTGTGTATCAGTATAGATTCTGCCGTATATAAATGACTATCTTTCTCCTGTCACCCTGTGTCTAGTGCTGTGACAGAGCATTCAGAGAATGGGAGTTCTTCAGTGTGCGATGAGGCCGGTCCTGAAGTCAAAAAAAGCCATGATGTGTCTGTGTCTGAGTCTTCTCCTGGATCCGAGCCCTCAGGACTCAACCACAGCGGTGAGGAACGAAACGCCGCCAACTTTGTCGGGGAGCCAGAGACCACAGCACCGGCAGACGCCAGCGAGAGGTCAGTTAGTTCAGAGTTTGTGATATCAAAATAAGACACTTGTTTACATAAACTGTGTACTTTTGTGTTTTTGATAGCCTCCCTTTGACCACTAGGGGGCATATAGACACCACCAGCTTGTGGCAGCAGACTCCTACATAAATATTTTTACATTGATACAACTAAACAAGTGTTTTATGATTTGAAACGTCATTTAAGTGGCTCTTTTTCTGTAAATCTTATAAGATGGGTTGAAGACATAGAAGGTAAACTTTTGATTTAAAGCAGGAAGAATAACAAAGGTGTTTTCTCTCTCCAGCTCAAAGTCAAATCAGGATGCAAAGCCAGATCTTGAGTGTGCAACGACGAGCTCGAAGGAGGTCACTTCCTCGGAGAGCATCAAACAGGATGTTGGGGAGGAAAGGAAAGACCACGAGAAAGATGGAGATGTTCCCGTAGCGAAGGAGGGCGAAGAGATTAAGGAGGAGGTGGAAATCTCTCCCTTAGAGGCCGAGACTGAAGCTGGGAATGATGCTGAGGTCCCGGAGTTAACTGGAAAAGAGGAGCAGGCAGGGAGCACATCCACCGGTGTAACAGCTGACGAGATATCCGTCACAGAGAATGAAGACTTTGCTGAAGATGGCCTGGGGAACAGGTTTGTCATGATAATTTTTCACACATCATGTGTTTTAATCGTCGTATCCGTTGAAAGAGTCGCAACACAGGAAGGCAATGTTGAAAACTGTGTGGCAATGTAGACTCAGCACCATGTGTTTAGTCTTCAGCTCTGAAAGATCTTACACGTCATCATCCCCAGAGTGCATGTGTTATTGCCACAAAGTAACCACTGAGAATACACAGTTCTCAAATGGGATTTTGGTATAAATTCACGAGAAAATACAAATGATGTTGATATTTTAGGCATTTATTGTGAAAGTTTGGAAGATTAGCAAACAAACTGAAGGATAATTTTAGTTCATCACAGTTTTACTGTATATATTTGCACACACTAAAATTATTTCACCAATTTTTATATAGAAGAAAAAGAACCACAAACAAAACTAGCAGCACTAAATGCTTTTTGTTTGCATAAACATCAAAATAATAACATAGAAAATACCTCATGTAAAGATATTAAAATCTAATTACACTACCAACCAGATTTTAAAATGTAAAAAATATGTAAGTTGGGTGACTAAACTACATAAAATCTTTATATTGAGCAATTGGCAAAAGAGTCTGGAGATGTACAGCAGCAGAACGACGTGTTGTGTTCTTACACTGAAACACAGACAAACCATCACATTTCCCCCATTTTGAAATCATTGAGCTAAAAGTAAAACATGACTCATAAGATTTGAAGTTTTTTGATTTTCTGTTTGCATATTCTGCCGACAAGGTGACCATCTATGGTCGAGTTTTTCCCGAAATACGACCACACTTTAAGACTTATTTCGTCTTTGGAGCACTGTCACTGTCATGTCTAAACACAGTTCATGCTGCGCTTGTGTCTGGAAGACTCCGATTTGTTCCAACTGAAGACCTAACTCTTTAAAAAGGTGTTACAAACATGCAGTGTATTTTGTTTATAAATGATATGTGGGCAACTATGTTTTTATCAAATGTTATTTACACAGGAGGAACTGCAAAACAGAGACCGGACTAAATGAACTATTTTTAGTTGCAGATTAAAACCAATTTGTTGCTGGTGAGTATTTACAGCAGCAGGACGGACTATGTGGGATTGACTCAAAATAAACTACACATGTACACTGAAAGGAAGGAACGTGTCACCCAGGGCAACAGAGTGTCTCACTGATTTGTTTTTAATAGTTTTTGAACAGTAATGGATCTCTGTGGCACAGGAAAAAGATTTTAGGATGATCTTGTTAGTAGGGTTTGTCTTCTTTTATTAGGATTTGTTGACAGTAAGAAAAATATAAATCATTGTCTGTCTTAAATGTTCTTTCTTCCTTTTTAGTGAAGAAGACTTGTACAGAGGAGCCGAGGAGCTGTCAGCATCGCGAACAAATAAACCAGGAACACGTCAGTACATCCACATCGCTCATCTGTGTTGTGGAAATTGCATCAGAGATTTGTAACAACACCACTGTTGTTTTGTCATGTAAAATACAGACAGTACTCCTTTTGTTCTGTCCATCGTTGTGTGTCTTATTCCCCTCTTTCTCCCTCTGTCTCAGTTTTAAAGGTGGAGGACAGATGCAGTTTGGCCCCAGCCGTGGACATTCTGTCTTACAGTGAGAGAGAGTGGAAAGGAAACACTGCCAAAAGTGCTCTCATTAGAAAGGTCGGTGCCTGTAGCTCTCTGGGAACAAGGGTTTCAGATTAAAGGTGTTTTTTTCCCCCTTCACGTTAATGGCTAAGACATCCTGTGGTGTCCCTGTGTGCCGCTGCAGGGTTATGAAGAGATGTCCCAGAGGTTTGGCAGCTTGAGGAGAGTGAGGGGAGACAACTACTGTGCCCTCAGAGCGACACTGTTCCAGGTGCTCTCCCACAGCACCCAGCTGCCCTCATGGCTGCAGGAGGAGGACGTTATTACGGTAAACGCTCACGTAACGAGGTGTTATTACTTGACCGTTAGCTACGGCACCCGTGCTCCGCGCCGTTGCTACGCTTCGAACAGTCTGTTCAGACAGCACGTATTACAGTTTACAGTGATGGAGGTGAATATAGCATTGAAATCTTTTTATAATAAAGTGCTGTAGTGCTGGAGAGATGCCCTGGCCTACAAATCTTGTTCTCTACATGTAAGAAAACATGTTTGGTTGCTACTGCAGATCTCAACAAATGTCACATCTTCATGATTTTAATAGTTTTTTCAGTAATAACTAAAATTGGGATGCAAAAATTCTGATTCCCACTCATCGCAATGACAGTGTTTTAGCTGCTGTCCATCCATTTTGCTGGCTGAACTGACAAATGTTGCAGCCGCATTTTATCACCTAGAGCTAGCTAACTAGATAATGAAGCCAACATGAGCTAGCACTATGAGATGCTGTCAGTCTTAAATATACACTTGATGGCTAAATACATCAACTTTATATTATGAAAGACTGAGGCTAAAGCTACATAAATTTCAGCATCCACACCAGTTGATAGTCCGCGTAGAAGACGTGGGATTGAAGCCTTGTTGTTTCGTCCATCTTCAAACAATGTCAGTGCTTCAGTTCCCTTCAACACAGCTGAAATTACATCCTAACATTTTAATTCTCTCTGTGTTTACAGCTGCCGGAGCAACTTGAGGCCCAGGAAGGTCTGATAAGTCCGTGGACATTTCCTGGAGAATGCCTGCAGGGAGATGGGACGGGAGATGCCACACTGCAGCTAAAAGGCTACATGGAGCTTCTCAGAAATAAGGTACAAATCTGCTCGGAAACATGTGAGAAAGTATTTTAAAAGACGGAGCGAGTAAACCGCAGCAGTATTTTTATGCCATCCGTGGACACTGAGGGGATTGATATTCATCCACAGAGCTTTTAGATGTGATTGCTACCATATGTTAAAGGGAGGTAGTCTGCTAAACGCTGCACTGCTCAGTCTCTCGTGGCTTTTTTTTTTTTGGTCTGCGTCATTAACGCACAGCCTAGTAATTCCCCTAAAGGATCTGGAGGGATAGATGGACCCTCAGCCTCAAAAGAAACTCTTATAACCAGAGTTACTATAACAGAATGAGGCCCCAGATATTCACTGTCGCTGGTAGCTTGTGAGGAATTCTGGTGTTTACTGCACACACGTTTTTTTAAGTCGGTTTTGCCTTACGAGAGGTGACTGTGTGCTGGTTTTGTGCCTGACATTGTGGATTCCATATATTTGCATTAGGAATAGACTGTGTGTTATTCTGGGCTGTGCTGGTTCCATAAATATACATTTTTATGTGCACTACGTATACATGAATGCAGGGAATGGGAGGGCTGGACCTCCTTACAATAGCCCCTGAGTAAAAACCACTTTGGTGGAACTGATTTTGTCTGATGATTTCTCAGGTTGTAGTTTCTGTTGTGGTGAAAACAAAATATTCCATGAATGCCATATGTTTGACTGGAATAAATAAATAACTACACATTCTTTCTACATTCCTGAACTGCAAAGATTAGTCAAATACACTGATGTCTTAAAATATGCTGTTACATAATGTTTGAGTGAAAAGACTGAAAACACCATGATGTATTTCTCAGTTGGCAAATAACTTTCATAAGTTATTTGAGTTCATCACTTTTATCTTAATTCACCATATTTGTCATCGGGCGGGGCTTAACAGCGTCTGCCAGGTCAGTCTATCCAACCCTTTGCTCTAAATGAAGATATATTTCAACTACTGGTCAGATTACCATCAAACTTTGTATGTATGCTGTAAAACTGAAATGAATAGCCCGGTCTTTTATTGGCTTCAATCAGTGAGCTCAACCTGCTTTTATTGGGAACAGGCGTTTAATTCATTATGCACAAAACTCTTGCTAAAAGATGGGAAATACGATCAAATAGTTTATTTAAACCTGTATGAATATTAATTGTATAAAAATCAAATAACGTATCGGTTATGAATTGTGGAGAACCGAACTGATCTAACGATGTGTAGCATGTCTAAAATGACACGTGTTTCGTATGTACGATCTAAGCAGCAAGTGGGCAACCCAGTGGGCTTTAAAAGGTTTTATACCTCTATAAAAACCCGACCTTGCGTCTAATTGAGACCTGCGTTTCTTTGTCAAACCAGATTAAAATTTGGCAGATTTCTGTAACATTTGTCGTGGGGAAACGGAGGATGAGTCCTAGTATATTGGTGTCCTCCTGACCTTTAATCTACCGCCTCCATCAGACCAAAATGCACAGAGGATATCTGAGAAGTTAAGACGAAAAGCATCCATGTAGTGCTGATTATTGTCTTGAAGGATCAAATAATTGATTGGTCTATAAAATGTCTATGTTGCTTGTTTTCTGCAACAAACATCCCAGAACTTAAAGATATTCAACTAACCATCACATAAGACAAAGAAGAGAGTAAATGGAACTAGGTAAAGTTTGTATTTTTGGTTGGAAAAAATAAAATCACTTAAAAGATGAATCAGTTCTATTTCCTAATCGACTAATAGATAGTTTCAGCTCTACTTCCATACTTCAAACGATTATGGTCTTTCCTCCTGTACCATTCTCTGGACAGACATTACCGGGGCTGCAGCTGCTGAATATTTTTCATTATTCAGTCAATTTCTATTCATTGATTAATAATTTAAGCTAGAAGATATAAAAAATAATGAATAATGAGTCATATATTGCTTTTTTTTTTTAAAGAAAACTGCAGCAAATCCTCTCATTCGTAAAGTCATAAGTCAGAGTCTTGTACTGATTATTGACACCAGTGATTAAATGCAAACCAGTTATTGATTCATTTCATTGATTGCTCTTCCAGTGGCAGGCAGCAGTGGACTGCCCCTCGGCTGTGGAGCGGCAGCAGCTGTGCGAGCAAGTGTTTCAGGGAGGAGAAGAGGAGCTGGGGCTGCTGGAGGCGCTGAAGCTGCTGATGCTGGGCCGAGCGGCGGAGCTGCACGGCTGCATGCTGACCGGGGAAGACGTCCCGCTCTTCTGCTGGCTGCTGTTCGCCCGGGACACGTCAGACTGCCCGCGCTCCTTCCTCTCCAACCACCTCAGCCACGTGGGCCTCAGTGCCGGGCTGGAGCAGGTACGAGAAACCCAGGGCTTCTTTTTATTTGTTCGCCAGCAAACCGCAGACTCACTCTAACAGGCGTTTAAAGACGTACTGAATGTTTTACTGGCTGTGTACAGGGGCTTTCTGGCGAGCAGGGGGCTTTTATATGAACCGTTTATGGTAAATAATAACTTACTAGGAAGTAGCTGCTGGGATTTTCTTGTCCTTTTGAATCCAGCAATACATTTCTGCTGAATAAACCATTGTCACGCTTTAACAAAAAAAAACAAAGATGTCATGATTGGGCGTGTAACATTCTCATGATCTGAAACCCGAACAGTAAAACAAGCCGGCGCTTGTGTTGTTTTCTCTGTTTTTTTGAGCTGTTGTGTTGCTGCATCATCAGCCCCCGGGGGTGAGGAGGTTTCAGGAAGGTGCAGAGCGAGTTTAATTGTTATTTTCATTCTTTTAAATTAAAGCTTTTACTGGCACGGTTTGTATAGAAAGAGAATGAAACCCCACCCATAAGTATCATGTGCTTGAGCAGCTAACTTAAGAAGCACGCATTCTGTAGCCGTGCAATTATCTCACAGCTTTTTTTTTTTTTTTGTTTGCCTTTCATGCAGGTGGAGATGTTCCTGCTGGGCTACGCCTTGCAGTGCACCATTCAAGTTTACAGACTGTACAAGGCCGACACGGAGGAGTTTGTCACCTATTACCCAGACGACCATAAGGACGACTGGCCGTCCGTGTGCCTCGTCACAGAGGACGATCGCCACTACAATGTGCCAGTCGTAGACGCCGCAGAGCACGAGGAGCTCGACTCGAGCTGATCGTTCACTGCAGAGAAATCTCCTGCCATACAAACACTCCTCAGGTCGATCATGATTAATAGATTTACGCCAATTAAAGGAACAGTTTGACATTTTGGGGAAAAGCTTTTTTTAGCTGAGAGTTCAGTGAGAAGGTTGATATCACTCAGTCTGTCCATTAAATATGAAGCTAGCTTAGCTTAGCACAGAGACTGGAAATGGGAGGGAAACAGCTAGCCTTGCCCTGTCCTAAGGTAATAAAATCAGCCTGGCAGCACCTCTCTGGCTCATTGGTTAACAGGTTGTATCTTGTTTGTTTCACCTGAACACAAACTGAAGGGTAAAAATGACACATTGCGGTGTTACAGACTTTCCCATCACCTTGAGGTTAAACAAACAAGATAAAACGTGATAATTAGTCAGCTTTAGAGCTACTGGTACGTGGATTTTATTACCTTAGGACAGAGCAAATTCCCCTCTTTCCAGTCTTGGTGCTAAAAGAGTTATTATAGTTTTCGGATTTTACATTAGTTTTAATTTGTTTTTAATTCAGTTTACTTTCCAGCGTGGGTTTGTTCATTTAAGTTTAGTTTTTTGTTGTTTAAAAATATTAGTTTCAGAATTAGTTTTAGGGTTTTTTTTATATTGTCATATAAAGGGGTATTTGTCAGGGGCAAGATTTAAGAAGTTCAGTAAAGGTATTACAAAACAAGCACATTCACAGTCTCCATAAACATATCCACCAACGCCTCCTCAGGGTTGCTACGTTGACAAATCTGACCAAATTGAGACTAAAACTGAAGGTATTTTTATTTCATTTTAGTTAGTTTCGTAAGTACCCACTATTGTTTCAATTAGAATTTGTTTTTACCCAAAGTCTAGTCTGTTTTGTCCCCCCCAGTTTAATCTTGGTGCTAAGCTAACTGGCTGCTAGGGTTTGCTTCATATTTAGCGTACAGACATGAGAGTAATATTGATCTTCTTCCTCGCGACAAGTAGGCAAATAAGCATACCATCCAAAATGTCTATTCCTTTAACAATATGCTGATTTGAGACCCTGTACAAGATGTGGTTTACACACGTTTGTACACACTGTACTGTATACAGAGTTTTCTATTTGGGTGTGTGTACATATATGTGCATCTGATATTGCAGGATCATCTCAGTTGAGTCCCAAATTAGTTTGAAGGACAAGTTTTTCTGAGCAATCCCGATTTAAAAACAAAAAAACAAAAAAAAAACAAAACAAAAAAACAGTGGAGCTGCCAACAGCAGCCAAAGTGATGAGATGGTTGGTGTTTACACTGGAATCCAAGTGCTTTGATTTGTGTTTTAATTTATTATTTTTCATAATGTCGGAAAAAAAAAGAAGGAAAAAAGCATCTTAAATTAAGAAGACTGGAAGTCGTAGGTGAAACGACTGAATCAGTCAGTCAGTGAAAGGTTAGATGATTTATCAGGTTTAACAACAGCTCACAACAGATGACGATTGGAAGACTTAATCGCAGCCTCTGTGTCAGAGGATTTGTGGTGGTCTGTGTGTGTGTTTACAACTGTGTGTGTGTGTGTGTGTGTGTCAAACTCAATGTGTAACATGTTGCCTTTAACCAAGCTGTTCTGAAGGGAAAGAAATGTGCCAATATTGCTGCAAATACTGGCAACAGTCCCCAACCACCAGCCACTGGATTCAGTAGTAAACGCTCGCTTGGTCCTCCATGTTGCCTTAGAAATAATGCACAATAAGAATGAATGTGGGTTAGAGATAAGAGGCCATTTCCTCGCCCTGATTCCAGAGCAGGTGAGAGTGATATGTTAACAGTAAAACATTGATTATGCCATTTGCAGGAATGTTCTTTGTTGTGTAAGATTTTTTGGATGGCATTTAGATAAAATTAAGGTAAAAGTTTTTGTAAGTCTTTTTTTTTTTTTCTCTTTTGGTTTAATCAGCTTGATACTTTTTTGACTGTTCCTAATTTCATGAGAACTATAAACATGATTTAAAACTGAGGTTTCAGAAGTTCACTACAGAAAATGACACGTTACATCTGTTTGGACTCTGTCTGTAAAACATGGTTGAATACAAAAGGATTTTCCAAAGCTCTATATCTGTGGTTGATGTTGATTGTATGTTTTATCCGCCGTACCCATCCAAAACAAGTCTATCTGGATTTTTGTTAAACCGGTCTGGGGTTGAAGATAAGCAGCGCCACCATGTAGGATAACATACCGAACATTTGTTTTTTACTTTTTGGGGAAACGAGACATTTGTTCATGCATAACATCAAGAACTGGAAACACTTGGTATCAATAACATGCTTTATGGTTATTTCTGCGTTTTGTCACCAAGACTGATTTGTGTAAAAGAGAAAGGTTACAACTTAAATCATTTTCTACGTATCGGGTCATTTAAAGAAAAAAAATGGGTTGATTTTGCGGTTACCATTATCTTTAAGCTTACAGCAGCGAGGTTAAACTACAAGGACCTTAAGGCCAATGTAAAAACAAACCACAAGGGTTAATAATAAAGCAATTTATTTGCCAAATAAGAATGCCTATACAGTATATACATTACATACGACAGTCTGAATACTACCAGGAAAATGCTTGGCAAAACAAAAGTAGATGGACTCCCAGACTGTATGGAAAGTGGACAATCATAACTGTATTCTGTAACACACGCAATGATATAACGAGGGATTCCTGACCCCTCTGAGCAATTAAATATACACATTGCATTACCTATATAAAACAACAATAATCTGTACACCAATGTATGTAAAATACGATTGCACAACCCAACAAGTCCCACAATATGTCTATATTTGAATTCAAGCAAGGCCTTGCTTAGTCTTGATAAAATAACATAAAATAATGAACTCTGTAATTTGGCAACTCCACTATCACTCGACAGATGTTTCATTCTTGCTGCGGAGGAGGAAAAGTTCTCCTGTGTCGTTTTTTTTTCCCTTGTTTACCAGTCAGTAGACACACGAAAGTGGTTAATACACCCGCTGATGTGAAGATGCAAAATTATAAGAACGGATGAAAAGGATCGGAAGACGAAGGTATTTACACGGATGAATGAACACTTGGAGGTGCATGGCTTTCTTTACAGTGTGCGTTTTTAATGGTGTGTAGGTCGACGTGAAGAAGACCTCGTCACTCTTATTCAAAGTTTAGTCCGTCGGGAGAACCTCTGAAACCAAACCATACTCGGGGGTCCTCTCTCCTCTCCAGCACTACACTCAGCGGTCTCCTCTTCAGCAAAGTTCCCACGTGGAGGTCAGCTTTACCTCCCTCCCCTCTTCCCTCCCTCCCTCC